CTGGTAAAGACAGTCCGTTTTATGTTATAGTGTCACACTAGCCTTGTGACCATTATAATGCCCCCCTGGTCTCTCCATATTCCAATAAAGTTCCTCTGCCTGTGGCAGGCCTGGCTCTCCACCAATCTGCTCCTAGACCAGGAAAACGCCTTCAGGGAAGAAACCAGCCACTGATTTCTGCTCTTCTAGGAGGAGCTCATCCTCTGGCATTTAATTCTCTCACTCCTTTTTTTGTCCACAGATTTCCAGGGTCTTTGAAGATGTTAATTCACTATTAATGTGGGTTCCTGTAAATGTCTACAGCCAATCTGGAAGTGGAGCTGTATAACTTTGGAACTTTTGGAATCTAAATCAGTTTGGGAGAATTCAGTCTTTTCAGAATTTGGCCTATGAATGTCTCAAATTTGTTTAGGTCATTTTAATGTTTTCAGTACTGTCTTCAAAACAATTTTGGTAAGTTTTAAATTTATTCTTCCGTATGTTATACTATTGTTGCTCTCATAAATGGTATCACCCTCTAAATTTTTCTATTCCTGAGTATAAGTTTTAAGTTTACCTTTAAGATACTAAACATTTTCATTAATTCTAATAATTTATATATAGATCCTTTGAAAGTTTCCATTAAGGTAATATTATAAATGACAGATTTACTTCTACTTTTCTGGTCCTTAGGTTTTAAAATATCTTTTATTAGCCTGCCTCACTTAAGATTCCAGTAAAATACTAAGTAGTGTTTTTAATAGTGGATACCATTATCTTCCTGATTTTAAACTCATTTTCCACTATTGTTTACTTTTGCATTTTTATATAGTGTTTATATTTTGAAAGATTTTTCTCAGTAATACCTCTTTATAGCTTTTTCTATATTTACTGAGATAATCCTATTTTTTCAATAATATGTTAAATGCTTTGAACACTGCCTCATTCATTTTAGATGCCTAGTAATTATGAGTGAATGATAATAAGCCTACTTTAAAAGTGAATTGTATTTATTGATTTTTCTAATGTATAACCAACTTTGCATTTCTGGATAAATTTAAATTTGATTTAAAAAAAAAAAAAAAATACCCCGTTTCAGCCACGCATGGTGGCTCACACTTTTGATCTCAGCACTTTGGGAGGCTGAGGCGGGCAGATCATGAGGTCAAGAGATCGAGACCATCCGGGCCAACATGGTGAAACCCCATCTCTAACTAGCTGGGTGTGGTGGCGCATGCCTGTAGTCCCAGCTACTTGGAGGCTGAGGCAGGAGAATTACTTGAACCCAGGAGGCGGAGGTTGCAGTGAGCTGAGATCACGCCACTGCACTCTAGCCTGGCAACAGAGCAACACTCCATCTCAAAAGAGAAAGTTTCCTTCTATCTTGTAAACTATTTTTGAAAGTTTTCAGGCTTTATTCTGTCCTTGTCTGAGTTTGTTATCCTGCCCTCATATATTGCCAGAATGTGTTGTTTTTCTCTTTTGAAATGGAGTTTCACTCTTGTTGCCCAGGCTGGAGTGCAGTGGCGCAATCTCAGCTCACTACAACCTCCACCTCCCGGGTTCAAGTGATTCTCCTGCCTCAGCCTCCCAAGTAGCTGGGACTAGAGGCATGCGCCACCATCCCCAGCTAATTTTTTATTTTTGGTAAAGACAGGTTTTCTCCATGTTGGTCAGGCTAGTCTCGAACTCCCGACTTCAGGTGATCCATCCACCTCGGCCTCTCAAAGTGCTGGGATTACGGGCGTGAGCCACCATGCCTGGCCCATAATGTGTTGTTTCTCCAAATGCTCAAAGTGTTGTCATATTGCTTCTTTTCTGTAGGGTAGAGACTTCACTAATAGAGTCATCTGCAGATGGGTCAAATGTGTCAATATAGTGCCTCCAGAAACCAAAAAAACTTACTAAGCATTGTGCTATTTGTTGTTAGTAGCACAAATTGCAGCAATTTTCCTTTCACTTTAGAGGGAATATCTTGGCAAGCTCCAGACAACTAAACCCCGAGAAACTTCAGATGGTTAGCCTGAATGTTTGGGTCTATTCCCCAGCAAACATCTTACTCACCTATGTCTTATGAAAGAACTCATAAAGGCATCAATAAGAGAGGACAAGTTGTGGGATGTAAAGATGACCATAGCTGGTGGATGCTATTGTAAGCAACAGTGTAACTGATGTAACGCTGAGAAAAAGTTGCTCCTGGTTGTCCTTACAGTTTGAGAAAGTGGCATTTCTAAGTCAGTAGCTCACATTTATATCGAGTAAATTAATGAAAATCATTACGGGAAATCTATGGATACTAGATAAGAATAATAGGACAATTTGCCAGAAACATAAAATGAGTAAACCTATTTGTACCCAATTGTAATGCCCCCAAAAAATGAGACACAGATTTTTATTTTTTCCTGAGATAGTCTCGCTGTGGCCCAGGCAGAAATGCAGTGGCATGATCTCGACTCACTGCTACCTCTGCCTCCTGGGCTCAGGTGATCCTCTCAACCTCAGCCTGCTGAGTAGCACACTACTATACCTGGCTAATTTGTGTGTGTGTGTATTTTTTGTAGAGATGGAGTTTCAACTCATTGGCTGGGCTTGAACTGGTAAGCTCAAGTGATCTGCCTGCCTTGTGCTCCCAAAGTGCTGGGATTCCAGACATGCACCACTGCACTGGCCTAGAAAGATAAATTTAAAAAAAACACAATTTGTCTGGGTGCAGTGGCTCACACTTGTAATACCAGCACTCTGGGAGGCCAAGGCAGGTGATCACTTGAGATCAGGAGTTCGAAACCAACCTGGCCAACATGGTGAAACCTTGCCTCTACTAAAAATACAAAAAGGTAGCCAGGCGTGGTAGCATGTGCCTGTAATCCCAGCTATTTGGGAGGATGAGACACGAGAAATCACTTGAACTCGGAAGGCAGAGGTTGCAGTTAGCTGAGATCACACCACTGTACTCCAGCCTGGGCAACACAGCAAGACTACGTCTCAAAAACAACAAAAAAAAATTAGAAAAACCATGGTTATAGTATGATGTCTTAACATACTGAGAGGTGACAATGTACCAGCAGCCCTCACTCTCAGTGCCTACTTGGCCTCGGCGTCCACTCTGAAAAAATTAGAAAAACCATGGTTATGGTATGATGTCTTAACATACTAAGAGGTGACAATGTACCAGCAGCCCTCACTCTCAGTGCCTACTCGGCCTCAGCGTCCACTCTGGCGGCACTTGAGGAGCCCTTAAGCCCGCCACTGCACTGTGGGAAACCCTCTCTGGGCTGGCTGAGGCCAAAGCCAGCTCCCTCTGCTTGTGGGGAGGTGTGGAGGGAGAGGTGCAGGTGGGAACCAGGGCTGTGCGCAGTACTCATAGGCCAGTGCAAGTTCCCGCAGGCACAGGCTCTGCTGGCCCAGGGCAGTGAGGGGCTTAGCACCGAGGCCAGCAGCTGTGGTGGGTGCACCCAGTCCCCCAGCAGTGCCAGCCCGCTGGGCCTAAGCTGTCTCCCCGTGGGGCAGGGCTCGGGACTTACAGCCCGCCATGCCCCAACCACTCCATGGTGGGCTCCCGTGCAGCCCGAGCCTCCCTGACCAACGCCGACCGCTGCTCCACGGTGCTCGGTCCCATCAACCACCCAGGGGCTGAGGAGTATGGGTGCACGGCGCAGGACTGGCACCTGCCAGCTCCACCTGCAGCCCCAGCATGGGATCCACTAAGTGAAGCCAGCTAGGCTCCTGAGTCTAGTGGGGCCTTGGAGAACTTTTATGTCTAGCTAAAGGATTGTAAATGCACCAATCAACACTCTGTGTCTAGCTCAGGGATTGTAAACATACCAATGAGTACCCTGTCAAAACAGTCCAATCAGCTCTCTCTAAAGTGGACCAATCAGCAGGATGTGGGTGGGGTCAGATAAGGGAATAAAAGCAGGCTGCCTGAGCCAGCCAGCAGCAACCTGCTCAAGTCCCCTTCCACACTGGAAGCTTTGTTCTTACACCCTTTGCAATAAATCTTGCTGCCACTCACTCTTTGGGTCCACGCTGCCTTTATGAGCTGTAACACTCACCTTGAAGGTATGCAGCTTCACTCCTGAAGCCAGCGAGACCAGGAACCCACCAGGAAGAACGAACAACTCCAGACGTGCCACCTTTAAGAGCTGCCACACTCACCGCGAAGGTCTTCAGCTTCACTCCTGAAGCCAGCAAGGCCACGAACCCACCAGAAGGAAGAAACTGCGGACACACCATCTTTAAGAACTGTAACACTCACCATGAGGGTCTGTAGCTTCATTCTTGAAGTCAGTGAGACCAAGAACCCACCAATTCCGGACACAATACCACTCTCGATTATAGAGATCAGAAGACAAAGTTTGTAAATAGATGACTTTTTTTTTTTTTTAAAGAGTTGGGGTCTCACACTCTTTTCCAGGCTGGAGTACAATGGTGCAAACATGGCTTATTGCATCCTCAACTTCTGGGCTCAAATGATCTTCCTGCCTCTGGCCTCCAGAATAGCTGAGGCTACAGGTGTGCAGCCGGTACCCAGCTAATTATTCTTTTTTTTGGTAGAGATGGGGTCTGTGTTGCCTAGGCTGATTTTAAGCTCCTAGGCTTAAGTGATCCTTCTGCCTTAGAAAACACAGATATAACAGTTGGGACTGAAATCAGCTGAAAGAGGAACTTCCCACAAGAGTGGTTTAAACCACATGGCAGTTAATTTTTCTCTTGTAATATGAAACCCAGAGATAAGCAATACAGGATTAGTGCAACTAGATAATATTGCATCTCCCCTGTTGTTTCATTTAGTATCTTTTCTCTGGCCTCCTCTTGGTGTATATATTTTCTAGGAAATAAGGGATAAGACAGAGGGCAAATAGTTAAGAAAAAAAACGCCAGATGAGATATTCCCATTTCCATGAGCTTCCTCAGAAGCTGTATCCAGTGACTTCTGCCTACTTTGCATGGGCTAGGGATGTGGACACATTTGTAAGGAAAGCTGTAAGGAAAGCTGGGTGAAAACTGTCCACATTGCCAGCTTGAACTAAATAGTCAATTTTATTACTTAAAGAAGGGAGGAATGGATATTGAGACAGCAACTAGTTCTGTCTGCCTCAGTACATCAGTGTCCAGCAATTATGTTCAAATCTATATCACAAAGAATCTACATATTGCAGACCATGTACTCTGTTCACAATGGAATTAAACTGAAAAGATAACTATAAGATCTACATAATATAAGTTGTGACACATATAAGAATGAAATATTCACTGACAAAAACAATCAGCACTATAACATAAGGTTTGTCCCAGTGTAACAGCCAGCCAGAGTTGGGCCAGAAGGCTGTTTCCATGTGGCCATAACAGGGCTTCTCTGCAATGTATGTTCTAAAGTGAGAAAGGAGGCATCAGGGGCAACAAACACTTTCCTGTCGTCATTTCATTCATGGAGTTCCTGGCCAGTGTGAATTCGCTTGTGCATTATAAGGTTAGTGCTTGTGCTAAAGGCTTTTTCACACTGAATACATTTATAAGGCTTCTCTCCAGTGTGAGTTCTCACGTGTACCCTCAGGCAAGAGGAATTCCTAAAGGCCTTCCCACATTCTTTACACTCATAGGTTTTCTCACCAGTGTGAGTTCTCTTGTGCACAATAAGGTAAGAGCCTGTGCTGAAGGATTTTCCACACTGGTTACACTCATAAGGCTTCTCTCCAGTGTGAGAGCGTGTGTGTTTCTTAAGGGATGACTGATCAATGAAGGCTTTTCCACAGTCACTGCATTCATACGGTTTCTCTCCAGTGTGGGTTCTCACATGTTTCTGAAGGGATGAAGGAACAGTGAAAGCCTTCCCACATTCTTTACAGTCATAGGGTTTCTCTCCAGTGTGAGTTCTTTTGTGCACATTCAGATGAGAGCTCTGGCTAAAGGATTTTCCACAGTGATCACACTCATAAGGCTTCTCTCCAGTATGAGATCTCATGTGTTTCTTAAGGGAAGACCGAAAAATGAAGGCTTTCCCACAGTCACTGCATTCATAGGGCATCTCTCCAGTGTGAGTTCTGACACAGTTCTGAAGGGACAAAGGGTCAGTGAACGTTTTCTCATGTTCATTACATTCCAGACCCTCCTCCACACTACCAGTTTTTCTGTGGACACTAAGGGGAGATCTTTTGCCATAGTCACTGCATTCATCGCCTTTCTCTCCAGTAGGTATTTGCTCATGCACTGAGCAGGAAGAGTGTAGGCTGAAGGACATATCACATTGATCATACTCATGACACTTCTCTCCTGTGGGAGTTCTTAAGTGTTTCCCAAGGGATGACTCTTGATTGAAAGCTTTTCCACTATCAGTAAATTCAAGAGTGTTCTCTCCAATGTGAATGCTCACATGACTCCTAAGAGTTGAGGGATGGTTGAAGACTTTGCCATACTCTGTATATTTATAGCATTTCTCTCCCTTGCAATATCTTGTACAAATAAAGAGAGTGTTCTTTCTGAATTTCCCACAATGGTTACATTCCAGGGAGTTCTTACCAGGTTGATTTTCTGCCTATTGAAAAGGGAGTAAGTGGTGACTAAAGGCTTTTTCACTTTCACCTTATTCACAGGAATTCTCTTCCATGAGGGTTCTGCCATATATAGGAAACACATGATCATAACTGACATGTTTACCATTTTCAGTATGTGCACATGACTTTTGCCCTATTAGCTTTTTCGAGTTGAATAAGCCTAGTCCTCTGTCCAAGGCTCTATTCCTTCCCAGCAAAGGGCTTCTTTAATATAGTTTTTCTAATACTGAGTGAAGAATGAATGAATTATGTACTAAATACTTAACACTAAAATCATATTTAAATGTTTACTTGTGGTTATTCTCTGTGAGCCAGCAAGTGTTAACCTAGGTTTACACATTTCTCCAATTTCATGAAAATGAACTCTCTCCTGAGATAGCTTTCTGGTGAAAGCTTGGTGCCTGAACTCTTCTTACCCCTGCTTTGGGTGCTGATGTTTTAACTCATTGAAATTCCCAGACTTCTACAAGGACCAGGAATAATTCCTAGTAAGTCTTACCATGTTTATGCCATTGGATGTTTTTCCCCCAGGAATGTTCTGCACAGCAATTGCATCTTTTGATTTAAGTCGAGTTTCCCAGTCTGAAATAGCACAGGAAAATTTTTATAATTATTGGGAGAAAAGGTTGAGATGAAAGAAAAAGGAAGCGAGACCCTATAGATTTTGTTTTCTGCAAGTAGAGAAATGTGAGAGAGAAGACACAACCAGTGATTCACCAGTGATAGGAACAAGCAGTAGAAATGGGAGGTATTTTAGTTGGAAAGGATTGTGGAGGTTGGGAAATAAGACAGTGTTATCTGGAAAATAGGGAGAACTAAACAAAAGGCATTCATGGAAATGTTACATTTAAGGAGGGGTTAAAACTTTTCTCAGAGACCAAATTAACACATGAATGATTGGACAGATGGTGAAACAGGAAGGAAGCTCATGTAATGGCCTCAGATTTCTTTTCCTGCACTGAGTGACATTCCCAAATGTACCAACCCTCAATGGCCAAGGCCGTACTCTGTTCTGCCCAGGGCTCACCTGCACAGTCACCTTGTAGAATTCCTCTTTCATCTGTCTTCAGCTCTTCTTGATCCACCTTGGAGATCAGACTGTGTCTGCAGAGCTGATACCCTACTCGTGCAGAAAGAGGATGTGGGAGAAATGTGTGAGAATTAAATATTCCACAAAACTGACTGCTATACTTTGACTTTAATTAAAGGACTGCTAAAATAGTCAAGTGCAGCTTTAGGAACAGCAAAACAATCAGAGCTGAGTTCTTTCTTTCACAAAGACCAAAAAGCATAGTCCATGCCCTATACGGAAGTGACCCTTGAAACCTATACACAAGATCAGACACAGATCACAAATTACCTAAAGCTATTAGTGATAGAGAAAATGAAATCAGTGCATTTTCATGGGAAGCCACTGGACTGCCCCCTCAAGGGCAGGGACCATTCATTTTGCGGTTAACCACCGTATTGCCATTCTTTTCACAGATTCTGGAATACAATATGCGCTTAGGAACTATCTGCTACGTAAACAAATGAAGGAATGAGGCCAGCCTTACCCACTGAGGCCAGGTTCCTAAAGTTCTCCAGCATCACATCTTTGTATAGATTTTTTTGAGCAGGGTCCAGCAATGCCCACTCCTCCTGGGAAAAGTCCACTGCCACTTCCTGGAAGGTCACGGAGTTCTAAAACATCACATACATATTCTGGCTCAGCCGATGACCATTTTTGACAATATACCAGGAGAATGGTGGGTGAGGCTGACAGGACTGGAGAGAAGACCCAGGGCACTGGAAACTCAGACATACATCAGAGGCCTTCTATTAATTTGCCTTAAAGCTGATTTCTCAAAACTCTCTTTAAATCCTACTCCCTGGGCCATTTCATTCAGAGTCATGGTCAAAACAGCTTTTCTAAAATATGGTTGGCTTGATCTTTGCACAGTGAGGCTGTGAGGACTCTTTTGGTCTTATTCAGATTCGGAATAGATAGGGCATGCTGTAGGAATGCAAGAAATACTTGAAAAATGATCAACAGTTTTCCTAGTAAAAGTCTTTGTTTACAGCACTCACTCAAGTCTGGAATTCATACTCAAAAATATGGAAGAATATCTGGAGAACGTTAACAAATTTGGGAACACAAGCCTTTCCCAGGGATTCCCTCTTCCACATGAAGCAGCCTGGGAACTGCGGAAGATGAAGCCAGCTCAGATTGGGCTGTGAAGCTTCAGGTCAGGGGCAAGAGATGTGTTATTTTCAGGAATGGCAGTGTGCTTTTGGAAATCGAGACATTTCTTGTGTACCTGTGACCAGGTTGTCAGCCACCCTGCAGCCATTCTTCCTCCTGTAGGTTTCCTTCCTGGCTGGGCAGAGTCCTAAGCAGGCAGAGCTAGAGGAGAAAACAGAAGCCATTAGAGTCTAGGCCTGCTAGATATTCAACACTAGCAGGCTCGGAAGCTTCTTCATACTAAAGAGTATACACACACATAGAGTTTAGTTACAATTTGTCTCCTTATCCAAGAACACAGTGTATCCTCAAATTAGAAATATAGTATGCATTTTTCATTTTTTCTTATTGGACTTTTTTCTAGCCTGAACCACTAAAAAGGCTTATGACTGCTAACAGCTCAGGAGGAATGAGCCTCTAAAGTGCAAAACTCTCTCTGAATACCATTTACCTGTGACAGAAACCAGGACTCACTGGGGAAATAGCTGAGTCTGGTAGAGAATAAGAAATCTTCAAGATGAGTTTGGAATATCTTGTATTGCACCTCACGTTCCTCACTGTTAGAATAGGACAGACTTCATAGGGTTGGGCTGAGTTAATATCCCTAAATTACTTACAATAATAAGGAGTAACTCGTAAGGACCATAAAGGTGAGCATATTTGCATTTCATAATAAAAGGGTGACATTCCGGAACATTTAGTACACTTAGCTGTGTATGTGAAGTCATCAAAACCTGCTGCAAATCTTCCAGGACTCTGTCTTCTTAACTCAGTAGCCTACTTTCAAGGCCCAGTTTGCCGGCCCGATTTTACTTTTTAAAGTTTTTTGTTGTAAACGAAGACAAATATGCACCAATCTAGGCCTACACAGGGTTAGGATCATGAATATCACTGTCTTACACCTTCTATCGTGTCCCATTTAAAGTATTCAGGGGCAATAAACATGCATGGAGCTGACATCTATGGTGACAATGCCTTCTGGAATCTCTTCTGAAGCATCTGCTTGAGGTTGTTTTTGAGTTAACTCGTCTTTTTTAGTAAGTAGAAGGAATACACTCTAAAATAATATAAATAGTATAAAAATAATATAAACCAGTAATGTGGTCACTTATTACTATTATCCATTATTATGTACTGTATATAATCTGTACTGTACATAATCATATGTACTATGGTTACATGACTGACAGTGCAGGTTTAAACCACGACATGTGAGTAATGTGCTTTACAATGTTACACTGGCTATGTCACTAGGTGATTGGAATTTTTTAAGCACCATTATGAGACCACTGTCGCACATGTGGTCCATCGCTGACCAAAATGTCTTTATGCAGTGCTTGACTGTACTACCAACCAAGAATGTTTTACCTGCCAAAAATGGCCTTCAGAAATGAAGGGACAAAGACTTCCTTGGACAAACAAAAGATGAGGGGCTTCATGAGTAATGGAGCTGATTTATAGGAAATAGTAAATTCTTCAGCTTAAAAGAAAGGACACTTAGTAACATGAAAACATATAAAATTATAAAACCCACTGGGATAAAGGTAATTATACACTCAATCCAGATTACCCTAATACTGTAACAGTAGTATCTAAATAACTTATAACTCTAGTATAAAAGATTAAAATACTAAAAAGTTATAATTTGTTAATACACAATATAGAAAGATGTAAATTGTGACATCAAAAACATAAAATGTGGGAAATGGAAGTAAGAGTATAAATTGCATGCAATCAAAGCTAAGCTGTTAACAGCTTAAAACAGACTATTGAAACTACAGGATGTTTTAAGCTTCATAGTAGCCACAAAGCAAGAACCTATACTATGGAGAAAAGAGAAAGGAATCAAAGCATATCACTACAGAAAGTCATCAAATCACAAAGGAAGACAGAAAGGGAGGAAGAAAGGAACATAACATCTGTACAACAGCCACAAAAGAATGAATAAAATGGCAACAGTAAGTACTTACTTATCAATAATTACTTTAAATATAAATGTACTCAGGAGGCTGAGGCGGGAGGATCACTTGAGAGCAGGCAGGAGTTTGAGACCAGCCTAGGCAACATAGCAAGACCACATCTCTACAGAAAATAATTTAAAAAAATTATCTGGGTGCAGTGGCATCTGCCTGTAGTTCCAGCTATTTGGTGGGCTAGGGTGGGAGGATCGCTTGAACTTGGGAGTGGTTGGAGTATGATCATGCCACTGCACTCCTCCTGGGTGACAGAAATCCTATCTCTTTAAAGCAAACAAAAAAGTAAATGGATTAAATTCTCTAGTCAAAATATATAGTAGCTGACTGGATTAAAAAAGAAAGACCTAAGGTATATGCTGCCTACAAGAAACTCACTATAGCTTTAAGAATGCATGTATCCTGAAAGTAAAAAGATGGGAAAAGACATTCCACGTAAATGGGAACCAAAGAGAGCAAGGGTGAGTAGGAAAGATCTTATACAGCTTAATGTTACACCTCAAGTTACTAGAAAAAGCAGCAGCTAAGCCCAAAGTCAGCAGAAGGAAACAAGAAGAAACTAAGCCCAAAGCCAGTAGAAGGAAGGAAATTAATAATAAAGATCATAGCAGAAATAAATGAGAAAGAGATAAGACAACAGAAAAGATCGATGAAACTGAAAGTTGGTTGTATGAAAAGATAAACCGACAAAAACCTTTAGCCAGACTACCTAAGATTAAAATAGACAAGACTGAAGTAAAATTAGAAATGAAAGAGAAGGCATTACAACTGGTAACCACAGTGCCAGGCGCGGTGGCTCACGCCTGTAATCCCAGCACTTTGGGAGGCCGAGGCGGGCGGATCACGAGGTCAGGAGATCGAGACCATCCTGGCTAACCCGGTGAAACCCCATCTCTACTAAAAAATACAAAAAACTAGCCGGGCGAGGTGGCGGGCACCTGTACTCCCAGCTACTCGGGAGGCTGAGGCGGGAGAATGGCGTGAACCCGGGAGGCGGAGCTTGCAGTGAGCTGAGATCCGGCCACTGCACTCCAGGCTGGGCGACAGAGCAAAACTCTGTCTCAAGAGAAAAAAAAAAAAAAATCAACTGGTAACTACAGAAATACAAAGGATTGTGAGACTATAATGAAACATTATATGCCAAAAAATTGGATAATCTAGAATAAATGGATAAATTCCTAAAAACACATAACCTGCTAAGACTGAATCATAAATAGAAAACCTGACAAGATCAATAAGAGTACGGAGATTAAATCAGTGAGGAAAAATCTTCCATCAGAGAAAAGCCCAGGACTTGGTGGCTTCACTGTTGAATTCTACCAAACATTTAAAGAATAATCCTTCTCAAACTTTTCCAAAAAAATGGAAGAGCCCAACCAAGCTCTTCATTAAACTCATTTTATGAGGTCAGCATTACACTGATACCAAAGCCAGAAAAAAACACTGTAACAGCAAAAAACTACAAGCCAATATCCCTACTGAAAATAGATGCAAAACTCCTCAATAAAATACTAGCAAACCATATTCAACAGTACATTAAAAGGATCATACACCATGATCAAGTGGGATTTATCCCAGAAATACAAGGATAGTTCAAGATATGCAAAATCAATGTGATACGCCATACTGACAGAATGAAGGATAAAAACTATATGATCATTAGAATAGATGCAGAAAAAGCACTTGGTAAAACTCAGCATTCTTCTGTGATAAAAACCCTCAACAAATTAGTTATAGAAGGAATGCACTTCAATACCAGTAAAGGCCATAGGTGACAAAGCCACAGCTTACAGTCAATTATAAAAAATTGGAGGCTTTTCCTCTAAGATTGGGAACAAGATGCCCATCCTCGCCACTTCCAGTCAACATACGACTGGAAGTTCTAGGCAGAACAATTATGCAAGAAAACAAAAGGCATCTACATTGGAAAAGTAGTAAAATTATCTGTTTGTAGATGACATGATAGTTTGATGTAGTTTCACTTCATTATTTTTGCCTTTCTTGCCTGTCCTTTCGGTGTCAACTCCTTTAAAAAAACCAGTCAAGACCAGCCTGACCAACATGGTGAAACCCCGCCTCTACTAAAATGCAAAAATTAGCCAGGTGTGGTGGTGGGTGCCTGTAATCCCAGCTACTCGGGAGGGTGAGGCAGGAGAATCACTTGAACCTTGAACCTGGGAGACAGAGCGAGACTCTCTCAAAAAAAAAAAAAAAGAAAACTGAATTATGAAAGGAAGCAAGGGAGAAAACGGATGTAGTAAGAATGGCAAAATGGTGACAATCATGGAAGCTGGGTGGTAGGTACATAGTAGCTTCATCATAGCACTCTATTCCTGGGTATGACTGAAAATCCATGGTGAAAAGTTTTTTTAAAAGAAAGTAAAATTTCCATATGAAAACATGAAGCAAGGAACTGTACCTGTCAGGCATAATAGAAAGAAAATCTCTCTTGAGGATTTGTATATACAAGTGCTCTCTTTTAGGTTTCAGTCCAAATTCTTTTGTGTAGTTCAAACAACCTCAAGAGAATAATTTCACTTTAAGAGGGTCCTAAGTGGCATTGTCCCCAAGCAACTAGTGCAAGCAAATGGACCTATCTCTGAAAAATCAACTTTAAGTCAGGTCTTGAGAAAAAAATCTTATATGCAAAGTTCTAAGTAAACTGAGGAAGGCACAGTTTAAGAAACAAACACAAATACGCAATGTACCATGTGTAAGACACAACTAAAACACAGCTATCAGGTGGAAAAGCCTAACACTTCAGATATTATCCTTTTAGACATACTTTAAAAAATATAAAAGCTTAAAGAAATTAACAAAAATTTGGATGTGGAATAAGATACTATAAAATGGTTAATTAGTTTAAAAAGCAATTTTTAGAAATGAAAAATAAACCCACTGAAATGAGAAATTCAATGCCAGTATTAACTACTAGATTGGAATTTTGATAGCACTATTAGATGAAAACCTAGCAATTTTCTTGAAGTAGTGAAAGACACTAACCTTTGGGTACTGGAAGTATTATAAGCCCCAAGCTGAATACATAAAAAGAAATCCACATCTAATTTCATTATAGATTTTTCTTCCTTGGTATTTGATTTTTTTCCATAATTTCCAAAGCAGCCAGGGGAAAAACACACGTCACCTATAAAAGGAAAAACAGACTGATAGTTGATGTCTCAACAGCAACAATGGACATCAGAAGAAAGCAGGACTATGTCTTCAGTGTGCTGAGAAAAAAATGACTTATCAACCTAGAATGCTAGACAGTTAAACTATCTAGCTGCTCTTTATAGGAAATACAAAGATAACCAGTTTAAGCAATGAAAACAAACCAGTCAGCCAAATCCAAATATTATGTGGGACATTTTAAGAACAAATAACTTTATTTTTTCAATAAATCAGTGGATTAAAAAAATGAAAAGGGAGGAGGAAGAGAACAGACACAACAGAAACTTAAGGGGTATAAAATAAAAAAAATGGAGACCCTGTTAAGCTTCTCATTTGAACAAACCAAATGTAAAAAGATATTCTGTAGCCAATCAGGGAACATCAGACTTTGTTAGTTGGGATAATGGAGTAGTGGTGATGAACCAACTAGAGATGCACAGTTAGTAATTTACTGAAGAAATGACAGGATGTCTGGAATTTGCTTTAAAAACAAATCTGGGGGAAAAAAACAGCATTATCCAATAATATTTATTTGCAGTAACCGCTAATACAGTAACCACTAATCATGTATGGACAGCTACTGAACACTTGAAATGAGGTTAAAGTTTAAGCATTTAAACTTCAATAGCCACACGAGGCTAGTGGCTACTGTATTGGACAGCTAAGGGCTAGATGATGCAAGATGAGCAAAATATTGGTAACTGTCAAAGCTGAGTGTTAAGGACGTGAGAATTCATTATACAGTCAGCCCGCTACACGACCACAGATCAAAAATATGTGGAAAAAAAGATGAATGCTTGTATCTGTACCGAACATGTAGACTTTCCCCCTTGCTATTATTCCTTAAACAATACAGCATAACTATTTATGGTCCAGCACAGTGGCTCACACCAGTAATCCCAGCACTTTGGGAAGCTGAGGCAGAAGGATGCCTTGAAGTCAGGAGTTCAAGACTAGCCTGGGCAATAAAGCAGAACCCTGTCTCTACAAAAAAAAAAATATATATATATATATATTTTAAAGTTATCCAGGTGTGGTGGTGCATGCCTGTGGTCCCAGCCACTTGGGAGGCTAAGGTGGGAGGATTACCTGAATCCAGGAGTTTCACGCTGCAGTGAGCTATGATCACAACACTGCACTCCAGCCTGAGCAACAGAATGAGACTCCATCTCTTAAAAAAAACCAAAAGACCAAAAAACCACTTACATAACACTTATTGTACTAGGTACTATAAGTAATCTGGGGATGACTTAAAGTAAATGGGAGGGAAAACATAGCATTTATGGGAGGATGTGTATAGGTTATATGCAAATAAAATGCGATTTTATATAAGGAATTTGTGACTGTGGAGTTTGGAAGCCCTGTGGGGGTCCAGGAACCAGTCCCCCATGGATACGAGAGACACCTGTACTATTCTACTTCTGTGGAGAATTAAAAATTTTCATGATTAAAAGCTTAAAAAATATACAAGGAGAGTTATATAAAGGCATTTTAAAATAAAGACTTGAGACAACGTACCCATCAAAAAAGACCATCACAGAAGTAAATTAAAAGTACTTCAGGAGATAGGAATTGGAAGACCCAAAATGTTAAGTAGAATGAACACAGGTAAAATGGGTAAAATTAAGGAAACCTTTATTATATAAAATGATAATAATATCCAATTTGTGAGATGGAAAAATAAGCTCAATCCTAATACTAAATCATACATAAATTGGGAAGGAGGCTGTATGTTCCTTGTATTCTTCCACTGGGGACTCACAATATTGATTAGCTTTAGACTGTAAGTATGCATGATAAAATAGGGTAAAAATTCAAAGGATGGACATAGTGAGTTTAACTCACAGTCTAGAAGAGAAAATGGAATTAGGTTTAAAAAAAAAAAACCCCTCAATTCCAAAGGTAAGAAAAATAAGGGAAATGAAACAAAAAAATAGGTCAAATGAAAAGCACAATGTAGTAAGATGGTAGAAAATGTCTGACTTTATCAGTAAGTGTACAAATGGGCTAAATTCTGCAGTTTAAAAAGACTGTCCTGGTAGATTAAGATAAACTCCAGCTCTATGTTATTTCATTAGATGCACTAAAACCCACAACACCACATAAAAACTGAGTCTCGCTGAGGTGGAGTGGATCACATGAAGTCAGGAGTTTGAGACCAGCCTGACCAACATGGAGAAATCCCGTCACTGCCAAAAAAAAAAAATACAAAATTTGCCGGGCTTGGTGGTGTATGCCTGTAAATACCAGCTACTCGGGAGGCTGAGGCAGGAGAATCACTTGAACCCGGGAGGTGGAGGTTGCGGGAGCTGAGATTACGCCACTGCACTCCAGCCTGGACAACAAGAGCGAAACTCCGTCTCAAAAAAGAAAAAAACAAAACAAAACAAAACTGAGTCTCAAAAATAAGAAAGATATATCAGGTGAATATTAACCAAAATAAAGTTTGCTAAATTAATTTCATACATTTTAAGATAGCACTATTAGAGGTAATGATATGAGGATGTAAAGTACCAATTAGGAAGATATAAAATTCTAGTCTCATAAAACTCATAAAGCAGAAGCTAGTACAATTAAAGAAGAAATAACACAAATCATCAACACTTTAAGACTTTCAAACACTGCTCAGCGATAGATCATATGAAAAAAAGGATATGAAGATTTGAACAATACAATAAGTATGTTTAATCTAGCACACTGAGGGATACGACTGAATGTACTGAGTATACCAGACATTCTTTTGAAGCACAAATGAAGTGTTTATAAAAACTGACCATACTGTATGGTAAATATACTGTAAAGCTTGTCTTCAACCTTTCAAAATTTGGTATATAAAACATCAAGTGCCCCTTAAATATATACACCTACTATGTGCCCACAAAAATTAAAAATTAAAAAAATTAGAAAAAGATTTGGTATACAGACACGTTCTCTGACATGTCTTAATTACAATGTAATTAAGTTGTAAGTTAATTACAAGAGATTACGTTGCACTATATGAAATGGCTGTTTTGGTAGTTTAAAACTGTGGTTGAATGTTAGTGGTTTCATATTTTTCAAGCAAATAGAAAAAAGTAACACATTTGGAATTAAGAACACATCACACTTCCAAAGAACTTATGGTTTTATAAAAGAACTGAATTAGAAAATACATAATACTATGGTTATTGATTAGTTCTAAGTACCACAACTTGTAGAATGTACCTAAACTGGTCCATGGGAAAAAATAAGCTTTATATGTTTATATTAGAAAAGAAGTGAAGTTAAAAATTAACTTAAGTGGTTGGAGCAGGAATAGCAAAAAATACTATGATGAACTAGAAAACAACAGTATCACTCAGGCGACAAACTGGTTCTTTGAAAGCTACTAGGAAAAAAATCAGGCAAAACTCTTCAAAGAAAAAGAGAGAAAAACACAACTATAGATGTTGCAGAGATTAAACAAGACATGAATAACCTTAATCAAATTCAAAACTTTCAGGAAATAAATTGATTCCTACAGAAATATAACTTACCAAAACTGACTATGTAGAAATTACAATAAAAAGAACTAGCTGGTGATGGTTGAGTAACACTGTGAATGCAATTAATGCCACTAACTTGTACATTTAAAAATGATTAAAATGGTAAATTTGGCTTTAGATATTTTACCACAGTTTAAAACATGTAAAAGAAAGAAGAATCTAGACTGATGCTGTCAGCAAGGCGCTAGGTCTTCCCAGCTTAACTCACTGCCCAGACATTCTTTTAAAATAGAAAACAAAACTGGATTATTTAGGTATTCACCAAAAAACACCATGCTCAAAGGCTTTATCAGTCAGTTATGCCACTCAAAGAAGAAAGAATTCTAGTCTGGATGAAAATCTTCCAGAGATTAGGCATATTTATGAAGACTCTGGTTACTTAAACTACACTTCAATGTAATTCGTCACTAACGTTTGCATTATGTTAGGTATAGATAACTTATCCACTCTATAGGCGAGAGTTGGGTATTTGGAAGGTTTAATATAGCCTTTATGCAAACCCCAGAACTGTGTATGGTTCAAAATGTCATGTTTGCATTTGATTATTCTATTAACAGCAGTTTACAATATTACAAGGGGAAAAAATCGTCACTTTTAAACTAATTTCACAAAACAGTTTAACTTATCAAAGGGATTACAGTGATTAACAGTATAAAAGGAAGAATGTTCTCTGAGATTGGCATACTGATATCAAACATGACAAGGCCACTTTAAGTAAACAAAATCATAGGCAAATTTCAACATAGATTCAGATATTCTAAGGAAAATAAGTCCAAATAAAAAATGTCAATAAATAGGAAAGATAGTACAACAGAATTAAGTTAGGTTTACCAGAGGAATACAAGAGATGCTTACTATTAGAAAATCAATCAATATAATTTGCTTCATTAATAGAGCAAAAGAAAACCAGGATGATCAACTCAAAGTGATAAAAACCAGTATCACATAATGATTTCAAAAATAAATGTTTTCAGCCTGAAAACTTTCAGGCTGAATTTAATTCAGCCAGCTTCTTTATTTATTTATTTTTGAGACGGAGTCTTGATCTGTTTCCCAGGCTGGAGTTCAGTGGCACGATCTCTGCTCACTGCAACCTCTGCCTCCCGGATTCAGGCGATTCTCCTGCCTCAGCCTCCCAAATAGCTGGGACTACAGATGCATGCCAGCATGCCTGGCTACGTTTTTGTATTTTTAGTACAGACGGGGTTTCACCGTGTTAGCTAGGATGGTCTCAGTCTCCTGACCTCATGATCCGCCCGCCTCGGCCTCCGGAAGTGCTGGGATTACAGGCGTGAGCCACTACACCCAGCCTCAGCTGAATTTTTAAAACACAATTCAAAGATGGGCAAAATGATCTGAATGAACATTTTTCTAAAGATAAAAAGGTCAACTGCACATGAAAAGATGCTAAACATTAGTCACCAGGGACATGCAAATCAAAACCACATTA